GTTTGCGTCATGGATTCTTTTAGATCCGAAGAAGTTGTAATAATAATTAGCTTGTCAAAGTCTACAAAGTAGCTCTTCACGTTTCCCAGGGTACAGGTCTCCAACTACCGACGTGATCTACCCTCTAAAAAAACGTGTGTTATAGATATCTCTTATATTTAATGACTGCGACTACCCTTTATTGCAGTGGAGGAAACACAGGTGCAATATCACGATGTTTCTTAAGGCTAAGGCATTCCGCCGCCTGGATTGCTCATTAATTTCAGCTCCCTGCCATACTGCTCCTTGAAATATCTTTAATGAGATATAGGAGGCTGGAGAAATATCTTCTGGAAGGTACTTGGCGAAGATTTCGTGAGGATTGGGTTCCTCCCTTTTCATTTTTTTTTAATCTTCCTGATTTACTAACGAACCTTTCAATTTTTCAGGCGATATTGATGGTTTTGTTTTTATATCTTCACTTGTTATTGAAATTGAACAGATTAATCTTAGATCTTGAGTCCAAAAATACAAAGATATTTTATTGAAAATTGTTTATGTAAATGATTAGTGTTATTTTGGTGGTTTGAAATTATATTAATTGTGAGATCATCCAGGGGAAAATAAAGGATGTGTTTTTGTCTTGAATGAAATTAAAATAATGTGTAAAGATAAAAAACAATGAAGAATGAATAGATGGATAGTTTCAAGAAGACTAAAGAGAAGATAGTTTTAATACAATAATGATGCAGAATTAACATTATAAAACAGAAAGGATCGTGTTTCCTAAATTAATAAGGAATCCATCAATATTTTTAGTTATATTGATGGTTGTGTTTATATATCTTCACTTGTTATTGAAATTGAACAGATTAATCGCAGATCTTGAGTCCGAAAATACAAATATATTTTATTGAAAATTGTTTATGTAAATGATCAGTGTTATTTTGGTGGTTTGAAATTATATTAATTGTGAGATCATTCAAGGGAAAATAAGGGATATGTTTTTGTCTTGAATGAAATGCGATAGATTAGTGATTAGTAAATGCGATAGATTAGTGATTTGAAATTATATTAATTGGGAGATCATTCAGGAAAAAGGTTATGTTTTAGTCTTGAATAAAAGTAAAACAATGTGTAAAGAGCACAAATAATGAAGCATGAATAAATGGATAATTTCAAGAAGATTAAAGAGAAGATAGTTTTAATACAATAATGAAGCAGAATTGCCTTTACAAAACCGAAAGGATCGTGTTTCTGAAATTACTAAGGAATCCATCAATATTTTTCGTTATATTGATGGTTGTGTTTTTATATCTTCACTTGTTATTGAAATGGAACAGATTAATCTTAGATCTTGAGTCTAAAATGCGAAGTTTTTTTTATTGAAAATTGTTTATGCAAATGCGATAGATTCAGTGTTTTGAAATTATATTAATTGGGAGATCATTCAGGAAAAAGGTTATGTTTTTGTCTTGAATAAAAATAGAACAATGTGAAAAGAGCATAAGCAATAAAACATGAATAGAAGGATTGCTTCAAAAAGACTAAAGAGAATATAGATTTGGTAAAAAAATGAAGTAGATTTGTTATTATAAAACTGAAAAAATCGTGTTTCCTGACTTACTGAGAAAAATACTCAATATTGCACTAAGTTCAAACGATATTGATGGTTATTTTTCATAGATATCTTCATTTGTTATTGAAATTGAACTGATTAATCTTAGATCTTGAGAGCTAAAATAAAAAGATATTTTATTGAAAATTATTTACATAAATGCGATGGATTAATGTTGTTTCGGTGGTTTGGAATTATATTAATTTTGAAATAATTCAAAGGAAAACATTTTTGTTAAATTAATAAAATTCACACACCAAGGATAGAGAATGAATTATGAAACATAAATAGATGGATCATTTCAAGAAGACTTAAGAGAAGATAGTTCTGATACTATAATGAAGCAGGGTTGTATTATAAAACCGCAGGGATCGTCCATCTGATTATGTGACATTATCTGTGTTATTTTCATGAAGTTTTACTTTGTTTTTACGTAACAAAAAGATAATATTTATCTATTAAAATATTCTTGTTAAAAAAATTTTTTTTTAATATAAAAATACATTATTTGTTGTCATTCTAATTAATACGATTCATTACTGTATCCTAAAAGAACTACGGATCAAACTACTATAAAAAGTATTGGCACTCAGGGGGCTGGTAATTTTCACCGTAAAATCCATTTCTACCGGAACATGTTACGGAGCATAATATCTGATATACCGTAATTTTTGCAGCGAAAATTGCCATAAAATCACCGAATCACTCGAATTAAACCATTAGAATCAATCTAATCTAACCATTAATCTACTCAAATTTAATCTAATCATTAATCTTTATTAATCTATTCTGACCAATAAAATTACCATAAAGTCATGTATTAAAAAAATGTCCCTGAATTTATTTTGCAATGATTTGGGAATTATAATAAAGCATGTGCTATATTGAAACCTTGCCCTGAACTCAAATGTTTTCTTTAAAATAGTAAAATGCGGGTAACGGCCAAGTCCCAAACAGGTTTCAAAAACGAATTAACTCCGAGCATGCATTATTAACTATAACTGGGATTTTTTGTAAATAAGTTACAATGTTATGAGTGATTAGTTAATAGCCCTCACCACAAACTATTATGTATAATTTTTCATGAATTATTCATAAATTAGTAAGACAACATTCATTTCCTTAGAATAGTTACGAACTTCGAAGTTAATTAGTAAAAAACCACGAGCATTTATTTTTATTATGAAATTACTGTTTTTTCATTAGAGATTATTAAAGGTAAGTTAATAATATTAACCGCTTTTCTGTTATGCATATTTTTTCAATTAGGAATGGATAGATAGGACTATATTTTTTTCGGGTTTGTGATCATGTAGAAAATGGCTCAACTGATATGATCTTTTATGAGTTTTAATTGACCACTCCTTTCTAATTTAGCGTTTCTTAAGAATTAATTAAAATTAGAGTAGGTTTATTTATGTAACATTTTGAGAAATCCAGTAATTAATAAAAATTGTTTTAAAATATTATCGATGGAAAGAAACAGGAATAGTTGTATCATATACTTTCACTTTGCTAGTTTCAGCAAAATATAATTCAATATCAAAGATACTTTTTTTTTGAAAAAGTTAGAAGAAATTTGATGTCATTGTACTTCAGTAATTTAATTTTGGTTAATTTAATTTTGGATATTGGTGCTGCCATGACATTTACATGGACTAAAAATTGTGTCAGATGCATCTGCATCTAATTTAAATAAATTAAATGTGTTTTAGATTATTTTAACCCGCTGTGCATTCATTCATCACGACCTCCCAACCCCTAAGCAAATTATAATTTATATGATAAAACTGATCCACATCAAAACGAAAGTGTCCTTATTTCAAGCGCCATACAACATTCAAAACACGCAGACAATTTATTTTAAAGTTGCTGAATAGCGGTTTAACTATACCAGAAACTCCCTTTCATAAAAATAAAAATAAAACAGAAATGTATTTAGTACAACGTTCTAAACAAAATACCATCATTTAGCAAATCTTAATAATCTAAAAAAGAAACTGAAGAAAGCGGCATAAAAAAAATTTAAAAAATTATCTGGGTGTGTGGAACCGTCAAGCCTCGTTGGAACATTACCGAAGTCGGCGAGGATCTTTGCAGAAGACAGGGCAATGTTTAAGGAAGAAAGATCCTCGTAATCCAAATATGAGCGTATTACTGCCTCTTAATTTGAGGTGTGGTGCTTATAAAATAGAACTACCAAGCACGTGATATTTTTGTACAATAACTGTGAAAGATTTTTGCCCAGAGGTATTGGGTGCGGAGGTAACGCGTCTTCACCATCATCTCCAGACGCTTTATGGTAAAAAGTGCGCTTTGTTTCATCCAGATCTAGATAACAATGAATTAACTGTTACGTTCGGTAATTGGATATGCGGTGTTTCACCCACATTGCACCTTTCTAACTATGAGAAATTTAATGTTGCTGTTCTTCTGAAAGGTAATTGAAGTTATAGTTTTATGAGTAACCAACATGAAAAGACTTTCTTGGAATTAATTAGAGCGTTATTTTATAAGAAAGGGGAAATTCAATTAAAAAGACATATTAGGTTGAGTCTATAGGTTGAGTTCCTGTTAGGTTTACAGTGGTGTATATATCTAGGTTGGTGCAAATATCTATTAGGTTACCAAACTATATATTAGGCAGTCTTAAAATTTTATCTTGATGAGTTAGGATGGATTTCAGAAAAGTAGAAACTTTTTTTTTAATGCTTGAGGCAATAATAGAGAGAAAAACAACTACAAATGCAGATGCAAACGGTTTTGATATGATCATCAATATCAAATACTGAAACTGATTCCTCAACATTATCAACAGCAATAAACATATTTATTATGTTTAAATGCGTTTTGTTTAAATTATGACTTTTGTCTGGCATTGATATGGCTATCCCGGCCTTTTCCTTGTCTCTTGGATGGTTCAATATTGTAAAACTATTTAGTTAAAAATTAATAGTTGTAAACTCAGAATTGAGTCGGCTATTTAACGCCTTTTATAAAATAAAATAAAAAATGATCATATCATATTTTGCTGTTATAAACCTTTATATTAGAAACACTAACCAATTTAAAATCCATTAAATAAATTCTTTCAAACTGTTTGAAGGCATTCATGGGAACTAATCACTTATTATCATATTACGTATTGTTAATCAATTCATTACTGAAATATTTTCGCAAATATAATTCATCATTTGCTTATCTTTTTTTTAAATAATCTAAAGTTATGACTTTTAGCAATTAGCCTCTTAAGACGCTTTTTTTTTAAAACACAAAAAAATAGCGTTTTCTTCTTTTTTTAAAGCAAATTTACAAATATTATGTTTTACAAGTAACGGATAAATTATAATGTCTGTATTAATGAATGATACTTTTATTTATCCATTTTCTTTTTCTCTTTTAGGAAAAACCTCATAAATGCAACTTGTGTTCGAAGTCATTTCCTACTCCAGGAGATTTAAAAAGCCACATGTATGTCCACAATGGTTCTTGGCCTTACAAATGCCACATTTGCAATAGAGGATTCAGTAAACAGACTAATTTAAGAAATCATCTCTTTCTGCATACAGGTAAGAACAATAACACATCTTGCAATAACAATCATTTTATGGTTTCTGGCCGCACAAATATCATAACAACAATAGAGAACTCAGCAAAAAAATAAATTTTTAAAAAAAATAAAAGAATAATATATAAATAAATAAAATTAAAATAAACATAGATGTTAGAAGTAGAAATAGTATCTTTTTACAAGCAAGAAATAACAATAGCATCTCGTCGAGTAACAATCTGAGCTTAGCTTGATTTGTCTATAGTTCGTGGTTGAGTAACTGACTGCCATATTTTCATTAGAGAAATCAACCAGCTAACTGATTTACTCTTATCTCTTAATCTAATCTAATAATCTCTTCCTGCGTTCAGTTCCTAAAAAAAGAAAAATTTCTAATAACAATCGCCACATATTCGAAGTATGTGCATCTTAGTTTTTGGTTTCGTAAATCTTACGCTCTGTAAAAAATTCCGGATCAAAGTACTTAATCCGTATCATCCGTAAAAAACATTTTTACCATATGATCTTACAACGCACTTTTTACCCTAATTTGATCTGTACAATTTTTTGAAGTGTACTATTTTTTACAGTGTACTCAGTACATCCCATTGTAATTCAAAATAAAAGTTAAAAGAATGGTATAACTTTATAAACTATGTATTTCTGTTTCTACATAAATATCAAAGCTAATTTTCAAGAACAAATTGCTTGAAATATACATGAAGTAGGAAAAAAATAAAACCCAGTATTAAAAAAAATCTCTAATATTAGCGATAATTTTTATTAATCAATAAATTAATTTGAAATCTTAATAACTGAGTAATACAATCTCATAAAAACATTCGATAATCAGATCTGTTCAGTGATAATACACGAAGAGGAACAACCTCCACGAACTCGTCACGCATGAGATTCGAAATAACGACGTTGTGCACATGGTAGTTGACAAATTTTTTGATGAGTAACTTCTATTCTTAAAAAGATATAGAGAAAAAAAAAACGCGAAACACTTATATTATTTCTTTTATAAGGAAATAAACCGCAAAGCAGATGGTGTCCTCTTCTATTTTAACCTAGATCAAGTGAGCGAATGAAAGATGAACAATTATTTCCATGCTTTTATCTAAAAATTGATGGCAACAGAGATTTCCAGAAATATGAGAGAATGAATGACAGACTACGAAGATTGCTTTTTTTTCTTCATACAATTAAAGGGGACGTACACCCTTGAAAGTTCCGGATAGGATTACGGCAAAAAAGTACCGTACTCTGATTGCAGCATCCGTAAAATCCATTTTCGGTAAAATCTATTTTTGCCATAAAATTTTACACCGTAATTTTTACAATAGAATTTATTTAATTACAGCGAGTTAGTGATTTACAGAAAATATTACTGGAAAATTTACGGTATATCATACATTTTGTTCCGTAAAGTACATGCACTCAAATTGCCTGAACTTTTCAAGGCAATTTTATCCGGATTTTCTTATAATGTAGTAAAAAGCGTTAGATCATTTTGTAAAATAATCATCGTTACATTTTTTATTTGCTTTATTTTTATTGTGTAAATACTAAATAGTGAATACCAAATATTAAAAATAATACTGAGTTTTAATTTAATATTCTACTATATAAAAACAACACTTTGAACATAGTTGAGTAAGAAACTCTTAAAATTTAACATCATTTGGTAATTTGGAAAAAGAAATTATATTAATACTATTTAATAATACTATTTATTTATTAATAATATTAATAGTATTTATTATGATTTATTAATTTATAAATAGTTTTATAGGTAAATAGTTATAAAACTTGCTTAAATAGTTTAAAATAACAAAAATAAAATTTAGTTACGTTAATTTCAAAATGATTACGTTGTTTGTTGTTTTAATTTAAAAAAAATTGTTATTTTAATTTTAAAAAAGTTAAAGTTAAGAAAAGCGAATCTATAAAAAATGTCTTAAAATCAACATTAAAAGGAAACAATATGGTGTCATAAAAATATAATTTCACCTTAGTTATAGTTCAATAAACAACTACATTCATATTTATTTTTCCTCTCATTATTTATAATGTATTTATTAACTCACTATTCATAGTTAATTTATAAACTAATTATTCATAGTTTCAAAACAAAATGTTTTTTAACATTCAAATTAGCAATTTTCTCATATACTAGTTGCAGTAATTCACCAATATATTTTACCATTTTTACCTATATTTTTCAAAATATGGAAACGACCCCCTTGTTTCGTAGAATTATGCCCTTTTTCATGGCGTAATGCACCTTCATTCAACAGGTGTCAGTTAATAGTTGTAGGCGGATTGCGTTGACCATATGTTTTGATGGGGAACGCGGAACAAGTTTAGAGTGCGCCACCCCCTCTTAAAAGCAGACATTTCCGCGGGCTAAAAAATTAATTCCGAATCTTAGGGACGGGCTCTTCCCGTTTGTCCAGGGGATGGTCAACGATGTAATTAGATCCGAGCTGGTCCCGTCTTCACACATGGGATAATGCTATTTTTTACGGGTGCGGAAAAGGCCTCGGGGACATTTAATATAAAGTTTTTTCTTTGTTATTTTTTCTTTCAAATTGTTATTTATATTTTCTTATACGGAAGAAGTTCGAGGTTATAGTTTATTACATTTTGGATTAATGCGTTTTAATAGGTAACACTTCATTAAAATTAATAAGCTGTGACGTATGAAAAACAATTTCAATGTAAATCATAGCTTTAATCATATTTCTATTACTTGGGAAAGTATCACATATAATGATGCTAATAAGCTTTTTCAATTTAATAGTATTTGCTTCTAGTACAATATAGTGATATTTCACTCTCCCAACAAAATATGAATGTTTAAATAAAATGTATCATTCTGAAATGTTATAAACTGAATAATTTGTTTTAGATAATTATTTACACTTCGTCAATTTAATAGTATTTGCTTCTAGTACAATATAGTGATATTTCACTCTCCCAACAAAATATGAATGTTTAAATAAAATTTATCATTCTGAAATGTCATAAACTGAATAATTTGTTTTAGATAATTATTTACACTTCAAAAATAATTGAAATTTTAACAATATCAGCATTTTAAACCGTAAACCCGTAAAAAAATTTTTGATACGTTCATAAGGTTTGGAGGAGTCGCAATGACTCTAAGGTGGGAAGGATTGGGGTTCGATCCCCAATGGAGACTTGAAGCTTCAGGTGGAAGGATACCAGCTTGCCTGAAAAGTGAAGACGGTCGGTGCACAATGTTGACTATATTAGAACGATAATGCGGTTGGTCACGAAATCGCGAAGCCTTAAACTTCATTAACCCCTTGTTCTACGATAGACTGTTCTGGGAATACTTCAGTTCATTTTATAAGCTTTTGAACTGAGTCGTTTAAACGGTGACATAAATCCTAGTATAATTTCAGACAAAAGGATTTAAAATCCGAAATTTTTGGTTTTAGAATTCGAGCTTTCTCAAACTAAAAATAATCATAAAAATAGTTAAATATTTGTAAAGAATTATATGGAAATAAATGAGCGATACACTTAATAAAAAATAACTGTGAAAGAATTTATCGTAAAAACTATATTTTTCTCCATAAGAAGTTTTTTTTTAGCATTATCTAAGGGGAGATACTGTGTTTTTCTACTTTCATGTCTGAATAATTATATTGTAAACTAATAATAAACAACATTTAAACTGTTTCAATTTGAATTTTTACTTCATTAGTCCCTTTTGAAAACCTCTCTGCTGACAATTATTACTGCTACAAGACATATTACTATAGAATAACTACTTTTTACTCGCGTTTAAACCTAGTTGTAATCGATCAAGCGAACTCATCATGAATTACAAATGAGATGTCAATCGTTAGCTTTAACCACACCTTCCATAAACAAAAAACAAAATCTTGTTAAAGTGTACTTTGTATGCAAAACTAAGTCTGGTATTATTCAAATCGAAACTGGAAAGAACGATATTTTAACTTTTAACACTTTTTGATTTTTTCTTGGCCTATTTCTTTCAACATTTTTTTAAATTTTTTTTGACACTCGCCTTGATGAATGTCTATGATTAAAAATTAATCATCTCTTGGTGCCGAATTTTTTTAAGCACAAATAATAGAATATATTTGCATTTTTGTTTGCAGTGAACTGCTTTTTTCACAAAGTTGCATACCGCAACAGTTCCAGTGAACTAATACTAATAAGATTTAAGTTGTTCATATTTGTTTTTTACTTCAGTTTGAATGATAGTGAAAGGCTATTTTTTATTTAATAAGGCCAAGGCCTTGCGTGCCTTAAAAAAAGGTTTTAATTTTTCAAATTAGACACGCAACATTAGTATCAAATTAATGAAACAATTTTAAAACATCGATTTCCTTCGACACGTGTTTTAATTAATACTTTTTTTTGTTCTTTTATTTACAAGTATTGTTGAACTCCAGTTTTTGCTTTAGAACGTAGTTATGATAATTGTTTCAAATAGTTTAAAAAAATTTGATATTATATGAAAGATCTCATATTCATTTAAGCAAAAAATGCCATGATTTTATTTTATGGATAAATTGAATTTCTGTAGTCATAAGTATAACATGAAAAGCTTCTGAAACGCTCCAAAATCGCGTCATAGTTTTGTTTTTGACAAAGCGTTGCAGCACGATGCAAAAAATTCCGAATTAAATTGCAGGTAAAAAGTTCCGACACTTTGGGTACATATCCGACACATTTAGTAAACAAATACAAAATTGAAACTTAAATCTAACCGAATAAAGGACTTTTATGTCATGCTTTAAGGTATCATAACAAAATTACTAAATTTTACCACATCTGCCGGACTTTATCATATTATAAGATTATAAATTGCTAATTTAAAAAAAAAAACAATTGTAAAAATAACCGAGATTTTTTGTGCGTCCATAGAGCCAGAAAAACAGTAAATTTTACCATATTCTGATAGTTTTTACCATACTTTTTTCTCAGTGTATTAAACTTGTTGCAAATATC